TTTTTTTTTTTTTTTTTTTTTTTTTTTTTTACTGTTTCAATACACAGGTTTCTTTCTTCCAATCAAATGAGTTTCTTCCCTTTTCATGAAAATGCGTGTCCGCTTCCAGCTCCCTGAGATATTCCTGTTATTTCTCCACTTAGCCTGTGCGTACCCACCCTCCCACCTAGGTCAAGGTTGAATCCCAGCTCTCTCCAAGATGTAAAATTCTGTCTGGACTTTCTGTATTTTACAGATTAAAATATTTTTGTCGATGGATTGATGGACTTTTATAGTGGCAAAAAGCTCAACTGAATTCCTATATAACCATGAAACCAGAAAGGCCTAGTTATAAATATGCAAGTCAGTAGTTTAGCAGCTAAATCCTCATCATTTAAGACCTTGATGCTTCTTATTTTAAAATTTAAACTTTTTCTATGATCAAATTATCCCACACATTTTAAACAACAGATTTGCTGGTAATAACAGTTGAGAAATATTAAAGTATTATAATTATTATTAAAGGCCAGTAATCAATTCTTATCAACCATATTTAAGGAAAGGTTGATGGCTTTACTATCACATAACTCCGTTTGTATATGATTTTCATTGATATTTGGAGATTCAATTTCCATAAACTGTTTTTCAGAACCGTAACTGCATACATTTGAATAAGCTGTTGCAATTTCATGTGTGTGTAAGTACCCCAGAATTTACATTTTTTTCTATTCACAATAGCATTCTTAATTGGAGCATGCCTGGACTATGAATGAACAAGACCTATAGAAACCCAAAGAAAGTAAAAAATTATTTAAAACCAAAAAAAAAATTTTTAAACAAAAAATTAAACCCAGAAAACAAATTTTTTTCAATACAGCACAAAGGAAACCCATCAAACACTTAGGAACTAATCTAACAAATATAACTTCCTCTGTGGAAGGTCTGGCACAACTTTGTTGGAAATAAGACCAAAAAGTAGAGAAAAATGAAGTATGTGGATGAGAAAGCTCAGTATCGATTCTGGGAAACCATAATTCTTCCCTCACGCGGACTGATTCTAAAATTAAAATGGACAATACAGGCCAAGAGAATTTGGAAGTGAAAGAATGAGACCGGGTGGTAAAACGCCCCGTGAGTGTGAGACCACACGGCTTAAAGCGGCGCGGTGCCAGCTCAGAGACAGGCGCGGGCCCGTGTGCTGGCCAGGCTGACAGCTGGCCCATGCAGGTCAGCGTGACAAATGATGGCGAGAGAAGGGGTAGTCCATGCTTGCTGCAGCACCAATTCACCGTCCATCTGCAAAGGGAAAGCCTAGAAAGACTGAAAACTTAAATGTTAAAACCAAAATGAACATTTTTAAAATAAAATGTTAAGCAGGGTCGGGCCTGGTTAGTACTTGGATGGGAGACCACCTGGGAAAACCAGGTGCTGTAGGCGTAAAAATAAAAAATAAAGGATTGTAAGCGGACAAGGTCCTTGCAATCTGTGAGGGTTGCCTCGCCTAAAACAATAAAAAAGAAAGGAGAGGGAGAGGGAGACGGGGGATAGAGGGGGGGGAGAGAGAGAGAGAGAGAGAGGAGGAGGGAGGGAGGGAAAAGCAAGAAAGAAAAAGAAAGAAGGAAAGGAAGAAAAAAGTTTTTAGGACAATAGCTGAAAGAAGGATTTCTTGAATAACACAAAAGGTTGATGAATTTCATTACATACATTTTTTGTCCTATGGGTGTTTTAAGTGAAGACAAGATACATACTGGAAAAAGAATGTGTACATTATATATAACCAACAAAAAAATTATCCAGAATATATTAAAAGCTCCTACAAATTTATAAGAAAAATCAAAAAATTAGAAAAATAGGCAATTCATAAAGTGGCCAAAAAATCATATGAAAATGCTCTATACTGTTAATCAAGAAGATGCAGATTAGAGAGACACATTTATACTCACTGGGTTGACAAAAACGTGATAAGATTCCGTTAATGAAAACTGTAGAGAAATGGGCGCTGTCACGTGGCACCGTTGGCGAGTGTAAGCTGGTACGACTAATTTATATAGCAAACTTCCAATACTTAACTAAGAGTACACAGTAAATGGGAAACAAAATGTCTCATGTGATGTAACTGTCCAGCCAATAAACATGTAACAACCAAGATTCCGTTTAAAGTAGCATCAAAGGAGGTGGGTGGCGGTTACCTGGGTTTTGAGATCTGAAGGATGGGACACGGAGGAGAGAAAGGATTCAGGGGGACTAAGGGCGCTGGAGCAATACTGACAAAGGACCGTGAGGTCGCAGTCCAGTGGGAAACTGCCTTGCAGACTGTCGTCTGCAGAAACTGAGGGGCCTGCAAAGGTGCCTTGGGGACTTGCGGGGAGAGGCCAAGCACGCAAGGGTTTAGGTCACCTCGCTGCTTTAAACGGCCTGGTTCCACTGTTATCTGTCTCGCACACTGGAGGTTTCGCATGAGAATTTTTTTGAAAAGCATGGCCTGTGAAGACTACTGGTTAAACAGAAGAAAAAGACCTTAAAATCGAGAAGTAACAAGTGCGAGGCGGTGGGCCAGAAGGGTGGTTTTATCAGAGGTTTTCGATCTTGGACATAGGTGCCCTGAACCGTCATTAATCCCATCTTTGTGCAGAGGGTGGTGCACGTCAAGAGAGGAATATATCTGAGTAGTTACTAAGCATCAGATTTTATGCCTTACATAATCAGCCTAATTTTTCACAGTCCCATTTTACAGATGAGAAAACTGAGGTGCAGAGAGAGCCGTTAACTTGTGAAATGTTCCACAGCAAACAGTGCGGCCAAGATTTAAATGCAATTCCGCCTGACTCGGAACTCAGAACTATACCTAGTTATAGGGAACTACGTTATCTTGGCAATCCGTTCTGTAACTTTATTACTACTTCAAAATTCTCCATCTATACAACCCAAGCCGGAAAAAAACGGGAGGTGGGGTGGGTGTTGGGGGGGGTGGTTTAAACTCGTACCAAAGTATCCACGGCTTAAAAAAAAAAAAACCTCAAAATATAAAACTACTCCTTGTAGACGTTACGTTTACATTTTTAGGTGTCTCTCTCACTTTGCTCCATAATCGATTTCTATCTCTGTATTTTTTAAAGATTTTTGAGCATATTTACATATTTTATTAATGGTACATAAAATAATTCGTGAAAGAGAAATTTTTCAATATATCAAACTTGTTAATATACTATTTAGTTTTAAAGTTCCTTACAGAACTCTAAAGCAAATGCTATAGTCATACTTTTTTAACTACATTCTTGTCAATTTGTCAACTTGTGATTTAGTAGCTAAAGGCTTTGAGTTATGGGAAAATCTGAAAGTGCCTGAGCTGCAGGAAGCAGCCCATCCACATGCAGACAGTGAACGCCTTAGTCTGGATGTGCAGACACATCCGCAGGGCCTCCTCCGGAGTCTATTTTACCTGTCAGGTTCCTCTTCTCCCCAGGACCAAAGACAGAACCTTAAGCTAGATTTGATTAAGATTAGACGCAAATGATTCACCCACTTCTACTATCTCTGATTACGGAAAAATACACGCGCTTACCAAAACCAACGACTGTGGAATTCGTGAGAAACTTTCTCCTGCACATGGTAAATTTTTCTCACTGTTTTTGGTTGACTCTCTCGGACCTCCAGCTTCATATTTACTGTTCCAGGATTCGGGTGATGAGGTTTTTGGATAAGGTGATATGGATTTTGTTACGCAGTCATAATCCTGAGTGAAATCCCCTTCTGTTATTTTCTCTACACCTGTATTGCCTCACAGAACGAAAAAGAGATGGCAGGTGTTAGCGCTGACGTCTGCTTTCGCAGCAGTATGATTAATTTCGATTCTAAGAATATAATAATTTATCAAACCCACAAATGTTAGCTATATTTAAAAAGAATAAACTTTTGATAAATCAAGACCAAATTATGTTTAAAATATTTTATAAGACTTTGAAAAATATTAACGGCTCAATTTAAAATGCAATTTTAAATTGAAAGTAACCGTACGAACTGTCAAAACAATTTCAAACAGAGTTGTCTATCGTATGAGCTGTACTGTAGCGATCAGCCCGAGTGTCGTGACCTCAGAACCAGCACCGCTATGTGTTAAACAGTAGGTATGGTTGGAAATGGCTTGGGAAATCATTTGGCCTAAATCCTTCTTCATGTATAGATGAGGAAATCCATGGCTGAACTAAGTCTTAGTATAAACGATTTCTTAGAGTTTTTAGATCAATTCAGGGCATGAGCATCTGTCTCCTGAGTACGTAGTTATCTGAGATGACAGTGGTCCCAAGCATTATGAAAATATTCTAGACAAGAACAAAATAGCTACTTGAGGCTAAATATATGTTAACCGACTTAAGTCTTGAATTTTAAGTGAATTATGGACACTCAGAAAGGCTTTCAAATAGCCTTAAAAAGAACTGAAAGATATAAAAAGTGCGAACACGAAAAACTAGTGTCACAGTAACACTGCTCCCAAGTCTGCTCAGCAAAGATCAAGTTCCGAGCATCAACGAGTTTGAAAAGAAACTCTGGCTCCCTACACCCTTAATCGCTTCCCCCAAATTTAGTCTTTAAATTACATTTTCACATGATTAGTTATAATAGAAAATTATTAAAAATTCAACTAAAGGAAAGGATACTGACATCTCATGACTTCTATGGATGAGGAACTCCCAGCTAAAGACACAGGTGATAAGTCCAGGCTGTGACCTCGCCTGGTGTCTTTGGGGAGGGGTGAGTGGTCCCACTCTTTGGACGCAGCCTCCTTTTGTGGGTTGGCGGAGACGGCATTCGGCTCTTTCTTCGACAGCCTCCTGGTTTTGCTTCTGGGTTGGATATTCTCCTCCTAAACGTATTGATAACTTTCAGATTACACTAGAATACAAGTAACTCATGCTTGGGCACGCGAAGCAATTCAAATTACATTGAAATATTTATGAAATGTCACATTACTACATACAAGCATAGCGGGGGCCACAGAACAGTGAAAGGCTTTCCAATATACTAAAAGACATGACAGATCCACAGGAAAATATCAAACGTGCACATGAGAGACACGACTGAAAGACTCGGAGGGTTCGAAGGAGATGCTATTCGGCGTGGGAAGACCGGAGGGCTCCTGGGTTTCAGGGCTCAAGGGTACGAGGGCGGCGCAAGAAGGCATGCCGAGCCTGGAGGACCCTGACACAGACCTGGGGGGTCCTGTCTGGGAGCCACAGGTTATTCTGACTGTGACAGCTCTGGGGACATTCTGGGGAGAGGGGAAACGAGCTTGGAAGGCGTCCTGAGGCCTCGAGTGTCCAAGTAAATGGAGACAGTCAGGGAGGTGAGGGTGGGCGGCCTGGGAAGACTCGTCTGAGTGCGCAGAGCAGGTTCGAGGAGAGTGGGGGTCGCAGACGTAAGCGACAAAGGCCTTGCCGTCCTCCCGTAAGAGGCGCAAGGTCTGAACGGGAGGTGGAGCGTGGCGGCGTAGCAGCAGCAGTGACGGGCGGAGACCCACCTTCGGGGTCAGACCTTCGGGGCTGAGACCTGTGCTTTACCATCTCCTAGCTCTGTGACTTGGGCAAGTTCCTTCATGTCTCTGAGCCTCAATTTTCTCATTTAGAAAATGAGGTGTCAATGGTAGTACAAGTCACCTATGGTACTTATGAGATTTTATGAAGTGAAATCTATCAAGTATAGATGCTCCTCGCTTTACAGTGGGGTTATATCCCCATAAACACATTGTAAGCTGAAATATTGTTGAGTCGGAAATGCATTTATTACATCTAACCTATCGAACATCATAGCTTAGTCTGACTACCTTAAATGTGCTCAGAACACAATATCCAAAAAAACCCAAATGGCAACGCAGTGCACTGCAGCGTACTGACTGCTGACCCTGGTGACTGCGTGAGAACTGGGAGCTGCGGCTCGCGGCCGCCGGCCCACATCAAGAGGCTATCCCATTGCGTATTGCTAGCCTGGGAAGAGATCAAAATTCAAAATTCGAAGTACACTTTTTACTGAATGTGTATTGGTTTTGTACCATCACGAAGTAAAAAAATTCTAAGTTGAACCACCGTAAATCAAGGGCTGTCTGCACTTAGAACAGTGCCTGGCACGTTATAAACACGATGTATTTTTTAACTTTGCTGATAAAGCTTTCAAGCGCAGGTGGGTAGGGATGTGCATAACATTACGGGACTGAAGGAAGAAGCCGGGGACGGACAGAGATGGAGCAGTGTGTGGGAAGACCCCAGACCCACTCTTTCAGCTTTCAATCAAGAGAAAGATCCGGGTTCCCAGGAGCCTGTATTTTCCTGAAGCATCATTTTGGAAAGATCAAGTACTTCTCTAATTCCACGATATTATCTTAAAGTTATAATTTTACTAGAGTCAAACATCTGTTTTGTAACATTACTGCCAACTTATTACAATTTTTAGCATTATATTGCCTAAGGATCAATTTTTAGAATTATGTGTTTTCTCATGCAGAAGGTTGTCTTTTTAAAAAGTGACAAGATAAATTTGACTTTACAAAAATATTTTCCATACTTAGTATTTAAGAGGCTTTTAGAAATAATTAATCTGAATTGTTTCTATTTACCTTTACTAGCGATTTCTCTTTCAACGAATGTGAAACTTCTTGTTCACTTTCTGATTCCGAATTCGAGAGATCTTTGTAATTTTTTTTGGTGTTTGCCGCTCTTCGTGGAAGTCTGGTCCTCCCATCTGGGACTGTCTCATCTACTTTTTTGGTAATGTTTTTATTGGATGTCTTTAGAAGAAGAAAAATTCCTGAATATTATTAAATCAATATTTGATACCAGAAATACAAGCTATTTGCTCTAAAATGTGAACTGTGATAAGACCTAGATAAAATAATTGTAGAACTAAACAGATTCCTAATATTTAAAAATGACTGGAGAGAGAGAGAAAAAAGACTGAAATATAATGGAATATTAGCCATAAAAAAGAATGAAATCTTGACATTTGTGACAACATGGTTGGACCTAGAGAGTATTATATTAGGTGAAATAAGTCTGACAGAGAAAGACAAAAACCATGTGATTTGGATTCTATGTGGAACCTCAAAAACAAAACTAACAAACAAAATGGAACGAAAACAAACTCAGATACAGAGAACAAACTGCTGGTTGCCAGAGGGGAGGTAGGGGAGGACCAGGGCAGAAAAGATGATGGAGATTAAGAAGCACAAGCTTCCGGTTATATATTTTTAAAGAGATGGGATTTTATCTTTTCATTCCAAATATCTTCTCTATCACCTTTTAATCCCTATCATTAAAGCTCTGAGAGGCCTGCTATGTATTACCTAACTTCAGTAAAAGAGGGAGAGAGGAAAAGAGATGACAAAAATATGTCATCACAGAACAAAGTGGACCTAAAACAAGCTAACACATTGAAAAAGGCAGAAGGGAGGAGTAAGTGTGCAAAACTGGAAAAATTACGGGAACAGGTAACCGGCAAGGATAAAATTATCAGATGACAATTTTTTTTTTTTCATGACAAGGAGAAAAGTAATTTTAAAGGGATGTTTGAACACAAATTCTCTGGTTTTACCATTTTAGACCTTGGTTGTCCCCTTTCCAAAGGTGGTCCTGCAATTCAAGAAAATAAGGTTAAAATTTCAAATAGATAATGGCATTAAAATTTATTAAAATGTTTCTGCATGTAAGTTAAAATCATAAAAATTGTATCTTTAAAGTCACTGATCATTTAAAATTTAAGATGACTTGAGGCTAAACCGACATAACTTTTACGGTACAGTGTTTGTATGTTCTCAGTTACTAATCCCCTTTCTCCTCCTTTTATATTACAAAAATTTTTAAACATACAAGAGAACATGTAACGTAAGCTATGAAGTTAACACCCCTGAGTCTCTACCACCACGTTAAGAACTAGATTGTGCATAATGTCGAATCTACTTATATGGACTCTTATCCCCTGCTGAAAGGCAGTCACTATCCTGAAATCTGTTTCTCGTTCACTTGATCTTAAAAAACAGGTTTGTTACACAGATATGTACCCTTAAAGAGTACAATGAACTTTATAAATAAAGAGTACACTGAACTTTCTAAAATACAATCATGTCACGTAATATCCTATGATTTGCTTTTTCACCCATAGTTTATTATGTTTCTAAGATTTACCCATATTACTGAGAGTCGCTTTACTCCCTGTTCCCTTTTTTGCCTTTCAAGCACAATTCCAAATTCCTAAATATTCTCTGAAGTGTAAGAAGTGGGATTATCCAGACAAAGGAAGCAATGACACCCTGGAGGGAAGGTCTCCCAGTCCCGCCAATCAGGTGGCTAAGACATGTAGACTTGTTGTCATTCAGGCTTTTAAACAAAACAATTCACTCAGTTCGGTTTTCAAGGTATTTATTGATTATAGTGTTCTAACTTCTCGTGTCCTCTCGAGATCTCTTATCTTCTACTTTAAGTTATAAATGTCTTTATTTGTACAGCTCCCTACTAGACTGTAAGCTTCCTGAGAGCATGTGAATCTCGTTTCAACTTGGCTTATAACACATGCCCTCGAAGGCCACTATGACTAGATCTAGCCGCATCTGCCAACATTTTCCCAGTCTGACCCACACACTAACCCCAGCAATGCCGCACTCCCTGAGCGCACTGTGCTAGTTCACACTTCTCTCTCATCTGTAAAAACCCTGCTGCTTCTCTTCCTCGTGCATATGACTGGCCTCTCATTCTATTTCAAGATTTAGCCTCATTCCTAAACACATGCCAAATATCCATATCTCTATTTTTATTTCTTTATAAGCCATCACCCCCTCCCCCATACCCACACAGCGCTACTAGTTATTTGTATCCTGAAATAAAAGTTGGTTCTCTTAAATATAAGTTTAACAGCTCAGGATTACATCAGGTCTTCTTTTAAAGATCAAATGTATAAAATCTTTGCGTTTTAGTAAACATGAAATTGACGTTAAGCGATGAAAGTGGCCATTACTCTAGCCACACGCTCATACTTCAGAGTAACATCCCACTACTTCGAGAGAGCCGCTAAAGAGAAACCATGTGCTGGGGAAACACAAGATTTAGGCAAAAACATTTCTGCAAGAAAACTGTTTTCAATATATTTTTATGGCATCTATATGAATTCCTAAAAAGTGTGTCTGTTGGGTGTGACAGGGAATGGGCTGTCGTCTAAGCTTTGATTCTGTTCCGGGTGTTGAGTTCATGAGTACGTATTCACGATAAATGCCTAATAACTAAATAACAGTAAGCCATTAATAGCCAAATGCTGAGAGTAGATCACGAACCAAAGATTATGATAAATCATATTTTGTGCCCCCAAGATCCTGTTTTAAGAAACTAATCTAAATATAACCATGTTACCAAAAATAAAGCAAAAAGCAAAACTGCCATAGTGTTTTTGTGTTGTTGCTTTTACTCTTTTCTGTTTCTAAGGGTAAATAGTGAAAATTACTATCTAGATACAAAAATGTACTTATTAACCAACAAAGCATTTTACATAATTAAAATGGTGAGATCATTTGCAACACTTCTCTGTAAAGTGATTTCTTACTTGATTTCCCACTTCTCTGTTTCTTCGCAGTTTTATTTCTGCTGTAGTCTAGTAGCTGTGGTTTTGATTTTGGTTCTCTTAGCCAGCTAATCTCGGTCTTGCTGTCATCAAATCTGTATTCTGTGTCAGTATCGCTAAAGAGATTTTTCTTTTTATGATCTGTAACAGTCTATTAAAAAAAAGAATCCTTGTAATAGATGAAGAAATGTGACTTATGCAAGGTAAGTTCAGCCAAAAAATAAAAAAATAAAAAACCCTAACCCCAAAAACCAGTTCTTCTTTCTTTGGCACACTACTCTACCTGGCATTAAGGACCTATCCAAGAAGGTCACCTGGAAATCCAGATCAGAGATCAAGATTTGTATTTTGTTGTCGGTACTGTTGTTAATTAAAAAGGGAAATCAAAATAGCTTACTTCCATACAGACATAACCTAATACCATCAGAGAACGTGACTAAAGTTGTCACATCTATTACTGGATGATTACAAATAGCTCAGAGACCATAAGAAAAGTCATAACGGGAACCTGGAGAATCTGAGGAGAAAAAATGATCCAGTCATTTTTGTCTTCCAGTTGTGATAACCTTTGGCATTGAAAAGTTATTAAAAGAAATCCTGGTTTTAATAGGCACATCGGGATATTATAACTTACTCTTTTATCTTTTGTTTTGAGAGAAGTTTCAAGTTCATCACGAGTCTTTAAACCTACCCTTAAACAAAAATATGCATTAATTGTAATTAATTTTAAGGCCTCGTTTTCTTAAGGACTTATGGCAGCATGGACTGGACGGTCACACCCAGGTTTTCAGCCTTTTACTCTTTTACTCATTCACTATGTAATTCTGGCCAAAAGACTTATCGTCTGACCTCAGTTAATTATAAAATAACAAGGTCAGATGAAAGTGCTGCTAAGTCCTTTCAGCTTTATCATCTTAGATGTACAACTAGTATCAACAGTGCACAGAATCTGCATTTTAGCTTCAGAAGCACAGTTGACCTTTGAACAGTATGAGTTTGAACTGCACAGGTCCACTTATACATGGATTATTTTCAATAAATATTGTCAATGTATTTTCTCTTCCTTATGATTTTCTTAATAACATTTTTCTCTCTGGCTTACTTTATTTAAGAATACAGCATATATAATACACGTGACATATAAAATATATGTTAATCAACTGTTATCGGTAAGGCTTTCGGGTAAACAGTACGCCATTGGTAATTAAGTTTGGGAGGAATCAAAAGTTATACACAGATTTTCAACTGCACAGGGGGTCGGCGCCCCTAACCCCCACATTGTTCAAAAGTCAACTACAAAGGCTGAAACAGTAAAATCATAATGGGGATAACCATGACAGCAGCATTTTTAGTCATTCTTCCCATATGTTAAAAACTCTCAAACTGGGAGGGAATATTGAAGAAAAAGATCCCTCTAATTATAATAAAAACACCTACAGTTTTATTGAATTACCCACGGAGGCTTCTCTAGCTGTAGTTTGAAATTCCTGGATCTATATTGTGAAGAAACATTAGAAAATTTCTTTCTTAGAGTCACAATGGTAAACAGAAACTAGAAGAAATAAACAAAACCTAGTTTCTATCACTTCACATAGTCATAAGATGTCACAATAAAATTAAGCTTACGAAAATGTTTTTATGTTTAAGAAGAAAGCTAGTACTGTAAAATATACTAAAATAAAAAAAGTGTTAAAAATGTTTAAAACAATTTTTTTAAAATTTTAATTGTTGCATCAATAAGGAAAGTGATTTTTCTCTACTTCAGTCCAAAGGATCTGAAAGGAAACTAAATATACTTAGGTATATTTAGTACCAAATAAACTTTAAAATATTTAAAAATATATGGAAGGAGGCTCGACTTTGGGCGATGAGCACACAGTGGAGAATAAAGATGTATTACAAAGCTGTGCACCTGAAATTTACATATTAACCAATGCTGCCCCAATAAATTTAATAAAAAAATAGTATATGTTAAAATACTTTAAAGCATACCTATAAGCAGATAGAAATTTAAAAACTCTAGTAACTACATGGTAAATACGAAATAAAAACTAAGCAACTAAATACGAAGTAACTATTGATTTCTAGCTTACTCCAAGTTTTATAATAGGCTCATCAGCACCATTCAAGTTAAAATTGTAGACATCATCCCTATAAAAATAAAAAGAAATATTAATTCCCATTATACGATAAATTTTCTTCAAATGTGAAGACAATTATAAGATTCATGAAAAATCACTTACAATGGGCATTCAGAAGTAACATTAACAAAAGTGGTCTTCAGTTGTCTATAACTTTTTTTCTGAACTTTTTCCTAAATACAAAAGAAGTTTACAGAAAACCAATCAAACTTGTACATGTTACTATATTTGGCAAACAAATAACATGCAATTAAATTTTCCTGTGTTTTCTAGTTGTTTCCACTCATAAATTTTACAAGTTTCCTTAATGTACACCGAATAAAAGTATTAAACATCCACGCTTTTAAAAATATGGAAGACTTAAGTATTAACTAAAAACAATAGAAAATATTAAAAATCAAGTACAAAACATAAGATCCTATCCTTAATATTTACTAACATTGTACATAGGTAAGTGACCTTCTCACTGGTGTTCTACAAACTGAACTTTGATAATGATTCTAGAAACACACACACACACACACACACACACACACTCCAAAAATAGCATTTTTTCACTCATTTGCTTTAAATTCTTAAATAGAAAAAAAAAAACCAGGGTGTGGCTAATAAGGTTTATGTAAAATCTCACCTGAAGGACTCAAAATTGTTATCAGTCAACTAGGACTGTTAGAGAAAGCTATGGGTAAGATGATTCCTATAGCCTGCTGTTCAAAATATATTCTACTGGATCAAAATGTAGTGAGGAATAATTTTATTAAAATAATTTAACTATAATTAAGTATATAGTGTCGCTACACAATTACTACACAATTACTAACCAAAAGTCTAATGTAATATCCAGTGAGTTAGAAATATTAAAACTATTTTTAGTTGTGATTCATCTTTAATTTTATTATTTCTTTGGGGTACTTTTGTATAGAATTATTTCCATTATTGCAGAAAACTTATCCCTCAATGTATTATTCCCCCGATGCCTTTTCTGACTGATCCTTTCCAATGATTTTTACCAGTGTTCAGAGACAGTTGTTCAATTCATCGTTTGCACGCCAGTGTGTGCTATTACAGAAGTTATAAAAAAAGAGGATACAAAAGTGAGCAAAGATGTTCAGGATGCAAAGATGATTCTAAAGCAGGAGGTGAGCGGCAGGCGAGTGAGCAAAGGCTTCGTCTGTATCTGCAGCCTCTCCCCAGCGCCAGCATCGCCGCCTCAGCTCCACCTCGGATCATCAGCATAAGATGCTCATAGGAGCACTGGTCCCTGGTGCCGCAAAGGTTGGAGCCCGCTGCTCTAAAGAGTTACACTCTAGCAAAAGACGGAAGTGAGAAAAAACTGGAATAGTGAAAAAATATTTTTAAAGAATACAAAGAAATCGTTGTGCAGATTCAGAATTCTTGCCCAACTGGAGCTGAGTCAGGGCACCTGAGAAAGTTTTCATAAAGAAGGTGGACTCTGGAGTAAGCCTTGTAGGGAGGAAGAAAGTGTTGGCGATCAGAAAAGGTGAGAGCCTGCTGAGTCAGTTTGGAAGTTCTTTCCAAACATGGGAAAAAAAAAAAAAGAATATACGCTTCGGGGAATCTCAGGTTATTATTATGTTTCAGCTAAACAAGACATGCCTAGGAAACTAATATTAGGAAACAAGACCGACGAGGGAGCCAGACTAAGTCTCCGCTTAATTCCATAAGCAACAGGGATCCGAGAAAGGTTTTGAACGAGAGCATGGCAGGGCCGAAGCTGTGCGCTTTAGAAAGAAAACAGCTGGAATTGAACGTAATAAGTGGATTAACAGAGAAATACCAGCTGCAAAAAGACTTACATTAAGGCTACTGTAATAATCCAGGGTTTAGAAATTAAACTAGGAAAACAGGAGTTGGCATAGGCAGGAGACAGAAGATTCAAGAGGAATTTACAGAAGGTGAACCTCAAAACCTGAAATTAAATAGAGATAGAAAGTAATTGTGAGGAATTAATAAAGATAATTGATATGTTAAGCTTAGATGAATAGTACTTTTTTTTTTTTAAAACAAAAATAGGGATTTAATAAAGATCTTATTGTCAGGAGAGATGAGATCGGCTAGGGAAAAAATGGAGATAAAGATACACTGAACCATGAACCAAAAGGCGAAACTATCACAGTCATATGTAAAAGCATTTTCTTTGAAAAGCATATTCGAGGGCTTCTTTGAGGACTTGCCACTACACTTGTCAGTTGTTTTATCCACTTACCAGTATGCTGAAAACATTAAATCTAATTCCACCCATGCGCTATTTTAGTGTTTACAGTCAAATATCATAGAGTTTGACGATATACGTTTGGTGTAATTAAATAAATGAAACCTACCTGATTGAGCTGTAGATCAGATTTGCTTGAAAAACCACTATAAAAAAATGTTTTGTTAAAATTTGAAAAGCAATTAAATATCAGTAAAATGTTTTTCATAAAAACCATTTTATGTAAGGTAAAACATATTGGGGTCACTAAGTCTACATTCGATATGCTATAAGTAGCTAAAATGTGACAGCTCTGGTCTGATATTTTTGCAAATTCACACATAGTAAACAGCAACAATATTTAATTCTAAACTGAATCATTCATGCAGCAGGAGGTGCCAATTATCTTGAGAATAATTTTCATGCCATATGATAAGATCAGAATTAACTTAAACATGAATTAACCAACTGGTAGCCTCTAAAGAGACATTTTGTAATCAGAACTAACCTTCAGAAAGATTATAAACCAGGAATACATATTTACTATATAAAAGGAACTCATTTCAGCTCATTTAAATTTCACATTTCATTAAGCAATATATTTAAATATATTTCATTTTACTTATCACTAAGGTCAATAAATAAAATCTTAAAATGTCTATATCCTAAAGGCTTCTTTCTAAAACAGTAAGCTATATCAGTATAGTATTTCTGAGACTTTATAAAATGTAATCAAATAGTAGAATGTCAAATAGTAGAATGTCTAATTTCAAATTGGGTTCCCTTCCTGTGTAATTTAAACAGCTAACATTTATAAAAGTAAATAACGTGTTAGTTTCTACTTGAAAGATACATTATTTGAACATGTTTAAAACTAAACTTTAAACAGTATAAAATAATTTAGTTGTATCTGTCAGAAAAATATTCAAGTCTAGAATTTAAGAACATACCCGTCAATCAAAGATCCCTTTACTTTTCTTGTAGACTTTATATTGTCCTTTGGTTTATATCTCTTATTAATCTGGTTTATCAAGGATGCCGCTGCATCAGTAAATCCTTTCCCTTTCGACTTTTCTCTCTGAAACAATTTATAAGTTACTTAAAAACTCTACCAGTTAACATTTAAAGGTAAATAAAGGCTGAAAAGAAAATTTAAGAAAAATCTGGTTCTACGTATTACCACAAAGAGAAATAAAGGGGTCAGAAATTATTTAATAAGTGTGGACTTTGTTAGGCGTTAAAACAAGTCAGGATAAGTCTTTTAATATACAGAACTATTCAGAGTGCTCCATTAATATTTACTTTTTAAAGTTTCTACCCATAGAAAACCAAAAAAGTCAAATAAAAAACTAAAGGAAACTTAAACGTTGGTTCTTTGAAAAGATCAATAAAATTGATCAGCCTCTAGCCAGGTTAACTAAGAAAAAAAAGAAATTACTAATATCAAAAATGAAAGAGAGGCTATCACTACTGATCACATGGACATTAAAAGGATAATAAATGAACATTATGAACAATCTATGCCCACAAATTTGATAACCCAGAGTAAATAGAACAATTCCTTGAAATTCTACCAAAATTCACAGAGGGATCATCTAAGTAGGCCTACATCTATTAAAGAAATTGAATCAATAGTTAATACCTTCCAAAACATCAGGCCCAGATTGGTTTAGTGGTGATTTCTATCAAACATAAGATAGAAGCATAGGGAATACTTTCAAATTCATTCTGTAAAGTCAATATCACCTAATAACAATGTCAAAGACATTACAAGAAAGGAAAACTATAGACCAATAATACCTCCTATGAATAGAGATGCAAAAATCCTCAACAAAACGTTAGCAAATCAAGTCCAATAATGTATAAGAAGAATTAAGTACCACAACCAAGTAGAATTTATCCCAGGTAAGCAAGGCTGATTCAGCATTTGAAGATAAATTAATGTAATCTATCAAATTAATAGGCTAAATAAGAAAAAGAATATAATCATATCAATAGATGCACAAAAACCATTTGACAAAATCCAATATCCATTCATAACAACTCTGAGAAAACTAGAAATAGAGGGTAATGTCTTCTATTGATAATGATCATCTACAAAAAGAAATTATAGCAAACATCGTACTTAATGATGAGAAACTAGATGTTTTCCCACTAAGATCAGAAACAAGAAAAGGATGTCTGCTCTCAGCACTCCTATTCAACAAAAAAAGGAAATAAATGGTATCCATACTGGGAAGGAAGAAATAAAACTGTCTTTGTTTACAGATGACATCATTGTCTATGAAGAAAAGCTCAAAGAATCGACAAAAATACTCCTGGGACTAAAAAGCAACTATAGCAAGGTTAAAGGATACAAGCTTAATGATAAACGTCAACTACTCTTAGAAACCAGTAATGAACAACTGAAATCTGAAATCACACTCTATTTACATTAGCACCCCCAAAATGAAATAACTAGGTACAACTGTAACAGAACATATACAAGATCTACATGAGGAAAACTATATGACTGATAAAAAAAATCAAAAACCATCTAAATAAATGGAGAGTCCATGTTTATGGAGAGAAAGCTCAATATTGTCAAGATGTCAGTTCTTTCCAATTTGATTTATAGATTTAATATAACTCCAATCAAAATCCCAGAGAGTTGTTTTATGGGGTATCGACAAACCAGTTCTTAAGTTTATATGGAGAAGCAAGAGACACAGAATAGCCAGGACGATACTGAAGGAGAAGAACAAAGTTAGAGAACTTATATTACTCTAAGACTTAACTAAAAAGATACACTAATCAATATAGTGTAGTATTAGTGAAAAGATAAACAAACTGAATAACAGAACAGCTCAGAAATAAGCCTATGTAAACATGGTCAACTGATCTTTGACAAATGAACAAACGCAATGGAGATAGAACAGTCTTTTCAACAAATAGTGTTGAAACAACTGGACATCCATGTGCTAAAAATGTGAATCTAGACACAGACCTTAACTCAGATTAACTCAAAATGGATCGCAGACCTAAATGTAAAATGCAAACTGTAAAACTCCTAGAAGATAACGTAGGAGAAAATCTAGGTAACCTTGGGTTTGGCAATGACTTCTTATGTACCACATCGAAAACACAGCCCATCAAAGAAAACAATTGATAAGTAGGACTTCATTAAAATGAAAGGCTTCTGCTCTGCAAAAGACATTGTTTAGAGAATGAAAAGCCACAGTGTGGGAAAAAATAACTGTAAAATACATATCTAATAAATAACTTGTATCTAAATTATACAAAGAACAGTTAAAACTCAACTATAAGAAAACAAAGAACCCAATTAAAAAATGGGCAAAAGATCTGAATAGACAACTCACCAAAGATGATATATAGACGGTAAATAAAAATATGAAAAGATGCTCATTATGTGTCACTAGAGAATTATCAATGAAAACGAGATACCTAAGCACCTGTAGCAGTGGCTAAGATCCAGAATCCCGATGACACCTGACACCAGTGAGGGTGCAGATCAGCGGGGACTCTCATCCAGAGCTACTGGAATGCACGATGCTACAGCGACTTTCTCCACTTTGGGAAGCTAGACAGTTTCTCACCAAACCGAACATACTATTACTACATTATCCAGCAATTGTGGTCCTTGACATTTTCAAATGAGTTGAAAGCTTATTTCCACACAAAATCTGCACACCAACGTTTATAGAAGCTTTATTCGTAATTGTCAAAACATGGAAGCAAGCAAGATGACCAACACGTGAATGGATAAACAAATCTTGGTATATACACACAATGGAATGTTATTCGGCAGTTAAAAAGAATGGTCAAGCCATGAAAATACACGGAGGAACTTTCAATGTATATTGCTAAAGTGAAGGAAGTTGTATACTGTATGATTCCAGTTACATAGCATTCTGGGAAAGGCAAAACTATGCAGACAGTAAAAAAATTAGTGGTTGCAGGAATCTGGAGGGAAGGAAAGGAAGGAGGGGTGGAAAACCAGGGCCTATGAAATGGGCAGTGAAGCTCCCCACTGTCTCCCTGCCCTCCTCAGCCAGGGTTTCCCCTGGCCTCTCCCCCTCCTCCTCCCCGACCCCCTTCCCCTCCTGGTCCTCCACCAGCCTTTGATTCTTGCAGTGGGGCCAGTTGAGGGGGCCCCGCTCGCCCCGCTGCCCCCACGCTCTGCCCGCCCTCTGGTTGCTCTTGTGTGATCGCAGTTCGGCCGGAGTCCCCGTGGGCCTCCATGTACGACACTGCAGCGGGGGGCACATGCTGCCGTAGTGAAAAGACACAGACGATGCAGATGAGCTCTACTGTAAACCACGGACTTCGGTTGATGTAGTGATACTGACCGGCTCATCGTTTTGACAAACGTACCACGTTCATGTAAGAGATTAACGAGCGGGGAAACGGGTTGCGGTGAATGGGCGGATGGGAGCTCCCTGTATTCCGGTCCACCTCAAATTTCTATAAGAAACTACTATTTTTTTAAATGCAAGAATTATAAAGAATTATTATCTGCATGATTTTAAATAATTTGGTTAACAGAAAACTCCAGTAATACTCTTAAAGATATGTTCTCCTGATTTTATTTTCATTTTTTTTCTGAGGATCGGGCATATGGGTTTTTTAAATTATAGTAAAATATAACAAATATAAAATTTACTATTTTAACCATTTTTAAGTTCACAGGTTTTTCTATGTAGTAGATAATAAGTTATTACTGTCTCTCAAGATTACCATAATGAAGACAAGGTTTATCTGGCCTGATAAAAATGCAGCAAAAATGGGCCTCCCCTACATGACTTAAGAGCTTCTGGTATAACTGGAGCCAGCTTAGGAAATCGGTACCATTGAACTTCAGCGGTTCTGTCGCTCTGGCTTTATCCAATGAACGGAAAGACAGGATCAGACAGACGGCTACCTTGGAGGAGAGCGATCCACGCGTGGCAGGAAATCCTGCATGATGCAGGGAAAGGCACCACGAGGGACTGAAGAGACCTGAACACAGGGTGCTGACTTTTAAAAAGCAGAGCACAACTTAGGAGAGATGACCAAGGTCCTGCGCTCCCAGGAAAAAGGCATGACTAGCTCAGGGAAATTCCATGAAATGATTCTAAATTCCAAAGAAAACAGTTTAAAGTTAAAACTGAAGAACCGATCAGCATTCAGAGAAAACAAAACCAACACCTCCCTTCCCCTGGGTCTCGAGGGAACTAAACAGCAGCTAAGACTGGAAAGAGGAAAGAACAGCATAGTAAGAACCAAGGAAAAGTAACCCAAAAGGATTTAGTGAAAGAAGGAAGTAGCCAAATTAGGCACGGAAGGTGAGTTGCAGGTTAAAACAGAGTCGGGTCAAGACAAATGAAATAATGTCTAATTACTTACAATAACTGCAAATTATCTCTTAGATATTTCATCCACACACTGAGATGCTCCAAAATGTGAACATTTTAGAGATTTAGAAATTAGAAATCAGGCTACCAGGTATTAATACTACTCTGGAAGATAACTGAAAATGAAAGCCTATATAACCTGAATGCTCTAAGGAATATGCAAAGTGAAGTGCATTGTTGGCAGTAGAAATGTATTGTGATTTAAAAGTTTTCTTAACCTGCATCTTGAGAGCAGTGACTGGCCACCCTCGCCCGCCATTCCCCAAGAGAGAGAGAGTCATGGTAACTGCTACAGAAAGTAACCTGTGGTCTCCAAGCAAGGAGTGAGAGAGCTGACGCTGTCCTGAGATGTCTACAGATGATTCATCTGAGGAAGAGAAGAGAAGCTCCAACGGGGACGAGCAATAGTTACAGTGGAAGATCAAACCCTCCACCCGCTTCCATCCTTCCCTGAAGAAATACTTTGGATGCTATCATGTGCAAAGCTGTGCCAGGCCACGCGGGAAAACGAGAGTTGAACGGAACAGTCTTTATACTATGCACACAAAAATAAGCACTTATTAAAAAGAAAGGCAAGCGCCATTCGAGAGGCCCTGGATTCTACACGCATGTTCCAAAGCACCTGAAGGACAGAGAGGGAGAGGCCCGAGGAAAGGGGAAGGAAGGCGAGAGGAGGGGAGGGGAGGGGAGGGGAGGGGAGGAGCGACGAGGAGCGACGAGGAGCACTCATCCATGCCCAGCCTATGCGCCCTGCTCTGCCTGGGTTTCAGCAGAGCCAGCGCGGGGGAGAGATGGGGGAGAGATGCGGAAGCAGTTCCGGAGGCGCCTGCCCTAGAGTGAGCATGAATTAAAGAACAAAGTATTACAAGTGTTAAATCTGCAGCGATCAATCCAGCTTCTTTCCCTTTCTTCTGTTATCAAGTAGGCATATTACGGTGTGCCAAACAAAACACACTAACGCCTCACCGTTTTTTTTTGTTTCGAATCCCAGGAATTCAGTTCAGACGTTAATCTCTTCCCTGATTTTCTACGATTCTTTGCACCTTTTCTAGGAGAAGGGCTTTTATCACGAACAGCAGAAGTCACGTCTTTTGACAGTATGTATTTCTTCCTATAGATTAGAGACTCTTCGACTCTCTTATTCAGGAGAACCGATTTAAAAGTAGTTTCAGATTCAATGCGCCAGTCACTCTGCTTCGTGTTTTCGATATTCTGCTCCGGGTGTTGGTAATTTAGTGGCTGATTGTTTCTTTTGCAAACCTCTACTTCTGCTCTACCTATTTTGTTATGCTGCATTATTTCTTTCTTGAATTCCACCTTTCTTGCTTCTTCAGAATTATCATCAGATATTGAAGAGGATGATTTCTGTTTAGTAAGTTTTTTGTTGATAACAATATCTAGTGGGAAAATGAGAAATGAGACCTTATTAAATAAACTGATAATATATGAAATTTGTAAAAACTAAAGATATTTGTTAGACATTTCAAGAAATGAACATTTTCCGGAACTACTATTATATATGGAAGACTACAGTTGACCTTTGAACCACGTAGAGGTTGGAGGTGTCAACACCCCCCAGAGTAAGAAATCCATGTATAACTTTTGACTCCCCCAAATTGAACTACTATTAGTCTACTGCTGAGAGGATGCCTTACCAATAACAGACATGGTTAACACATATTTTGTATGTCATATGCGTTATATACTGCATTCCTATAACAAAGCTAAAGAATATGTTAAGAAAATCCTAAGAAAATACATTTACAGTACTTATTGAAAAAAATCTGCATAAGTAGACCCATGCAGTTCAAACTTGTGTTGTGTAAGGGTCAATTGTATGTGTCAGTCACCTTGATTAAATGTGTCCCCTGACGAAGCGCTTGCTCTTTGGTTATGACACAGCTTGATATTTGTTACAGGCGTCCAACACGCCCATTTAGACTGCATTTTGTTTCCACAGGTGTTGTCTAGAACACCGGGTAACCTGGAAAATAAATTCATTTGCTTAACATATTATAAAACATTAGCTAAGACTCAGACCAGAAGACTTTGAGTTTTAAAACAATGTTTATTGACAGCAATTTGTTAACAGTCAAGTATAAAAATATTTTCATGACTCACGATGAAAGTTAAAATTTATTATATAAGTGATCAAAGATTATTAAAAAGTTCCATTTTTGCTACTCTTTGGATATCTACTTAAATACATTTCACATCTTACATATCCTACTGTGCATTTAAACTAGGTTAAATTTCTTTACATTCATGCTTTATTATTTTAAAAATCTCATTCATTTTAAGTCAATTTGAAAGGAATTATGTTGGTTGACATGAAAAAAACATATAGACTATTCCCCATTGTGTAGCATAATACTTGAGAGATGATTAATACTATAACTGATACTACACTCTAAGACTATAAAAACCTTTTCCTTTAAATTTGTTACATTCATCTAAAAGTAATAATATATGCTAAAAATGATTTGATGGTTTTTTTTTCACACTTACGCAGGTTTATCAATTTTTCCCACTGCCTGCAAGTCAGGAATATCTTGGAGTTCATCTAAAATAAAACAAAAATTACGTTATTTTCATTTTGCATGCAGTTGCCAGGGTAAACTGGGACTTGGTATAGAATTTGATCAAGGCTTGCATATTGAGGTGGAGAGATCGACTGATCTTGTCTTCCCCCCTCAAACCCAAACTTCCTGAGAACAGAGACTATATTTCCTTGTAACCTCTAAATTCTTTGCATAAAGCTGAATACACTTATTATAAATCTTTCTTTTTCAAAACAATGAAAGCCAG